CACCAGGTGCGGGTTGACCTCCTCGTAGCGCGACTTGGTGCCGAAGTAGCCGCTCAGCGACGCCTCGGCGGCGGCCGCGGCCACCAGCAGCGGCACCAGCAGCGCGGCCCCGCGCGGCGCCATGGCGGCCAGTGCGCGGCGGGCGCAGGAAGGGGCGGAGCGGCGGCGCCGCCACCGCCTCCTGCTGCCGCGGGCGCCGGGAGCCGTTAACGGCCGCTCCGCCCATGGGGGAGCCCCTGAGGGACCCCGGGGGGGGGTCTGTGAGGGACCCTATGGGGGAGCCCATGGGGGTGCCCGGTGTCCCTGAGGAACCTTATGGGGGAGCCCATTGGGGGTGCCCGGTGTCCCTGAGGGAGTCTGGGGTCCCTGAGGGAGCCCATGGGGGAGCCCAGTGCCCGTGAGGGAGCCCCTGAGGGAGCCCGGGGTCCCTGAGGGAGCCCAKTGCCCGTGAGGGAGCCCGTGAGGGAGCTCGGTGTCCCTGAGGGAGCCTGGTGTCCCTGATGGAGCCCATGGGGGAGCCCAGGGTCCCTGAGGGAGCTCGGTGCCCGTGAGGGAGCTCGGTGCCCGTGAGGGAGCTCGGTGCCCGTGAGGGAGCCCGGTGTCCCTGAGGGAGCCCGGTGTCCCTGAGGGAGCCTGGTGTCCCTGAGGGAGCCCGGGGTCCCTGAGGGAGCCCAGTGCCCATGAGGGAGCTTGATGCTCATGAGGGAGCCCGGTGTCCCTGAGGGAGCCCCTGAGGGAGCTCGGTGTCCCTGAGGGAGCCTGGTGTCCCTGATGGAGCCCATGGGGGAGCCCAGGGTCCCTGAGGGAGCCCAGTGCCCGTGAGGGAGCTCGGTGCCCGTGAGGGAGCCCGGTGTCCCTGAGGGAGCCCCTGAGGGAGCCTGGGGTCCCTGAGGGAGCCCGGTGCCCCTGAGGGAGGCATCTCCTGAGGAGTTGTGGGTCTCCCTGTCGCTGCTAAAGGGCCATCGCCAGGCAGCGGTGGGGAAGCGGAGGGTCTGCAGCACAAAGAAGGATCCACAAAAACTCGCATTCCGAGGGGAAAACAGGCGTAGGGTTAGCCCGGCACACGTTCTCTGGAGAGCCGTGCGCCGCCCTCGCTGGTGCTCTGCTCCTTAGCCTCCTCACTGTTGGGCTGAGCTTTCTTGCTGTCGTTATTTCTCTGGATAACTTGGTTTTCATGGCATATTGAGTCATGCTACGGCATATTGAGTCAAACTGTGGTGTATCGAGTCCAGCTCTCRTGTATCAAGTCATTATAGTTTTATCGAGTCAAACTACAGTGTATCGAGCCAAGCTGTGGTTTATTATCAAGTCAAACTGCAGTGTATCAAGTCAAACTACAGTACCTGGAGTTGAACTAGGGTGTACTGAGCCAAACTGAGGTCTATTGGGTCAAACTATGTTTTATTATCAAGTCAAACTACAGTTTATCAAGTCCAACTTGTTCTTTTGAGTCAAACTGGTATATTTTGAGTAAAGCCAGTTTATGAAAGAAGTTATTGTATATTGACTCAGACTATAGTATATCAAGTCGAGTTACAGTTTTTTGAGTCAAAGTATGGTTTGTTATCAAGTCAAGCTATGGTTTATTGAGTCACACTGGGATACAATGAGTCAAGCTATGGTTTATCAAGAGAAACTACGGAATATTGAGCTGAACTATGGAATATAGAGTGGAGCTATGGAATATTGAGTCAAACTACAGTATATCGAGTCAACTGGTGACAACATTTACTTGTAAAGCCTTTCCCTGACCCATCTCTTGCACTATGGACAAATGATGCCAACTGGTCCCGTCATGACCTGCCAAAGGACAAGGGGTAAGGCAAAGGCTTTAAAACCAATGGGGAAAGCACGGGATGGGAGGAAGGAGGTGTTTTAAGTGCCTGGGCTAAGTCCTGTCTTCTTGGGGTCCAACCAGCAGGTTGCGATACGGTGTGGGGCCCTTAGACGTGTTTATTACATTGGAGATTTTGGCTGGACCAAAGCTGCATGTCCGTGTCTTCGTGGCCTGTTCCTCTGCGTCTCCTGCCATGTGCTGCTTCTCTTACGCCTACTGCTATGCTACAGAGCCCCAGCAAAGGACAAGCATCCGGACAGTGAGTCAGAAGAGTAGCTCCCCAGTAATGTGGCATGGCCACCATGCTTCATTTTAATTGCCAGCGCGTTAAGCAGATAAACAAGCTCCAGATGCCCACATATGCATTTCACCGCTCATGGAAGAGCGTTGCAAAGTGCCTGAGTTAAATACAGCTTTCATGTGAAGGTGAGGCGCAGAAGTTGTTAATATTTAAATAGGAAAAAGAAAAAAAAAAAAAAAAAAGAGACAGTCTACTACACAACACAGTCGTAATTCAAAATCAGCAAGACAACCAAGAGCAACAACAAAAGTGAGCCAATCATTGGTCTGTGAAAGCTCTTTTGGATGTGATTTCTCAAAAATTATTCCCGGGAGCTTTCCAGTTTCACAAAGCTGGTCCAAATTTGTAAGTAAGTGTTTCAAGACAAGTGCAGCAACGTGCTTTTCAGTTTTTCAAATTATCTCGTTCAATTTATATTACACGTACCTGACCACAAGTCATTTCCTTCATCTAATGCAATAGCAAGGTCAGCATGGAGCTATCTGCAGTTCTCAGAAAGTGTGGTCTGAGGTTATTTTGAAACCTATTTTGGGTATTTTATAAAATACCCCAAAAATTGGGTATTTTATACCCAGGAAAAAATATAACTGCCTTCACTGTAGATTCATGACACAGAACTCCAGTTCCGAAAGGGAAACTGCCATCAAAAATCTTTTTTTTTTTTTTCATTTTTTTTTTTAATTTAATTACCTTTTAAATTACCACTTGGCATTTTCAATCTTCGAAAATCTAAGGCATAAAAAAGGGGCAAAAGCCATAGACACTGCTGCCACAGGAGAGAGAATTTATATCTCCCTGTGCTCCCTTGCTCTTCCCATCCCTTGCCATCCAGGTATGGGAGCATCATTGCTGGGGTGGCTCTGGGATGCATCAAATGAGCCACGCGAGATGGAATTTGGGTAGACCAGTTGGTCAAGTGCAGCCTGAACGTGGGCGCTGATAGTGCTGCTTTTTCCTCCTTCAAAGCTTTGCCTCACACTACTCCCTTATACAGGAGCTAACGCTCCTTCTTTCCAAAAAGCTCCTGCAGGTCATACACTATGAAAAGGTATCTATGTAGCGACCAAATCATCATTCTTCCCCATCCAAAGTTACTACCAAGTCCCTTTTTTGTCCATGTTTTTTCTCTTTTATAGTGAAACAAGAAGCAAATATTTGCAGTCATGCTTGTCTCAGATCTTTTATAACCATATCAAGTGGTTATTTTTTCCTCTCCTTTAGCTTTCTCACAGTGTTTTGTTTCAGGTAGAAGTATGGTGAGGCTTGTGGTTAATTGTGGGGTGGTTAAAAAGGGCTCTTCAGAATAATTTCCTCATTTCTGCTTCTTCTCTGAATTTGCCATAGAAACACATCAGTTTTCAAAACTAAGTTATTTGAAATGCAGCTTAGAAAGTCAATATATTGATCTCTTCTGAAAACACATTTTTCTTTCAAATGTTTCTTCTTCCTCACTTGGATGGCCTGTAATTACCACTAGTGACAAGGTATTTCTTTAGCAGCTGAAGGACAGAGAAATCATCTTTTAAAATGGTCCCATTTGAGTGTACTGTATTAACCGATCTTCTCGGGAGCGGAGAAACTGGTTCCATTGTGCCTCTGAATGGTCCCACCAAATAACACAGAATTGGCTGGTGTAGAAGAAGCTGGTGAAGGATCCTTCTGGATTTTGGGTCCTCTTAAGATATTTTTGAAACCAACAACATTAATTATACAGCCCAGGGCAGAAAAAAAAAAAAAAAAAAAACTGACCTCCAATTCTATGTTGTTTTCTTTGTCAGAAAGCCCATCCTTTCATTTTCATTGTTTTAGAAGAACAGATTCCCAAGCCGGGATTTATTCCATCTGACTGCCAACTATTCCCATTCTTCAGGTGGCTGAGTGTAGTTTTAGAAGAGACAAGAGGAGCAGTTGTCAGCCTTTGAGCTCCACAGTCCCCAGGTAATGGGGATCTAAGAAACAGGAGCAGTGAGATAAGGACACACTGGCACCAGTGGCACCTTCAAAACAAGGTCTCCAGAAGCTTCAGCAGAGCAACCTTGTCAAGCTCCCTTTGAATCTATGAATATCGGTGTGAGATCCGTCACTGCTCCGGCTCTCGGCCTTGAGAGGAGCCTTAAGAGTGTGTCAGGAGCTCTCAGTGGGATGGGGGTCTGTGACCGTGCTGGGCATTTTGGGCATCGCTTCGCTGGTCCCTCCCTCCACTTGCCAAAGGCGGCTGTTTTGGTGCTGCTCACGGGATGATCTTGAAGKTGAGGTCAAAGTGTGTCACCAGGGCTCCCCAGGGCTGCTTTTCCATTGGCCTGGCTCATCTGAATGGCCTATCATTAGGGTGCAGCCACCACCTCCTTGCATGTGGGAAGCACCATCTGTGACCTTCACTAACCTTAAGCGGGGCTCCATCTCCCTAACTTTGCCTAAGTCTCTCTGTTCTTGTGGCCATTAGCCCTTCTGCTCTTGCTGTAATCTGCCCAGCAGCTGGGGCATCCGCTGTCTCTCATCACGTAGGGGTAACACGAAGCAATTTGAAACTGCAGGTGCTTGGGGTCACACTCAGGTCTCTCCCTTGTGGCAGCGTCATTTAGACATCTTGATCAGCGTGACCACTTGGTGACGCAGCTGTATGTCGCATGGCTTGCTCTCCCAGAAGGTACAGAGACCTTTGGGATCTTACGTGGTTTGACCTCTTTGCAAGTAGAGTTTCTGGTCTTGCATTGTGGTTTCAACCTGTGGGGCACCACCTCTATCAGCACCACAACCTCGTAATTATGTGACTTGTCTTTCCGGAATATGTCAAGCCCTTTTGGATCTTGAGTGGCAGGAGCCCATCCATCAAACACACATTGAGCTCATAAAAGGCACTAGAGTTCAGAAAACACGGACATAAATCCAGAAGCCCTCAAGGCTGCAGCTCAACAGTGAAAGACTGTATTCCTGTAAGCGAATGGCAAGAATTTATGCTATAAACTCAGCAGCTCAGAAAGGAGA